ACTGAAAACAACTGAACGTATACACAGTTTGTGGGTGGCCGTGATGCTAATTGGTAAAATGTGCCTGTTTAGATGCTTGGCTAATCGGTCAATAGATAGCGGCAGAAAAACGAACAGTATTTTTCTTAAACCCATTCTCAACTTCTTCTCAACTCTTAAAATGTATCAAGGGAAGAGTGGCCGCTGTTAAAACTGTGATATTTTGGTTCTCTTCTTGGTATTGTCAAACACTCCTAAGTATTTTAATATATTTTTTGCTTTAGAAGTTTATTAGTTTTCAAAATATCTCCCTATATGTATATCTACTAGAATTATGGCACTTAACATAATATTATTTTTCTATTATTACATACATTCATCTTGCACATGATAGCAGTTAAAGTTGGCGATTCATCGTCATAGTTAATCGTCGTTATGTCCACCCTGATACTTGTAGTTTTATCGACGATCGCAATTAAGGAATAAAAATGATCAGTTTCCGATTCGTAGTCAATAAACTGATTAGTATAAAACGTATCATCTGTGAATTCATAGTCGAATTTAGCATTTGTAAACGTCCAATCAGGCGCACTGTTAACTGAAACAAAATTAACGTTTTAACACTTTAACAGATACGAAGGGTGTTTTTTAGAGGTATAGAACTTTAAATTGAAGTAAAACTCATGAAATTCATATTACGGTCATAATACTGACTTTACTGAAAAGAAAATTGTATGCCATTATAGCTTAAATTTGATTTGGGGCATATGAGCGCGCCGCGGTTGGCTCGGATAAAGATCAATCCCGGAAAGAAGTCGAATTTTCGACCAATTTGATTTCACTAGACCATAAAAAAGCATATCAACCTGTACCTTTTTCTGGATATGACGGCATTTCTGGATTTCGCATTTTGGATTTTTGTCGCTATAAATTCGGCAATTTGGTTCGAAAAAAAATTATATCTATTTAAACAGTACATTTCTTTAAAGAAAACATTTGTTATTGTTTTTTGACTTGTTAATGTTAAAATATAAAAACACTCGAACAGAATCGAATGTTTTTAATTCATACCGTCATTAATTTTAATCCCAAAGGAAAAATCACTATAACCTTTTGTGTTAAATTATAAAGTGGAAATTAAAACACATATAATATACAGGAGTTTACATTTAAAAACATGTTTTTTACTTCTATACTACAAAATACGACGCTCAATAGGTTTTACTTTGCATATCTTAACAGGCGTCAAAACTACTTGTTTGCTAATTGAAAGTATTCTCTATCTTTAATAATAACAAAGTTAGCTTGCATACAATTTATTTTACTCAAATCTCGATTCTCAGTCCTGACTCTACCAAGCAGCAAAAAAATGTTTGATGTAAGATAAAATTAGTTAAATAGGCTTAGTTCGACCCAAAGGGTTTTAAAATAAAGAGAACATTTACCTTGTATATTTTCTACATTTATTCACAGATGATCAAAAGGTGATTTTTCGAGACAATCCAACTTTTTACAAATTTAGTACTTACTGTCTGTAATTGTAAACAACGCCACATGATTGCCGCCCTCAATATGATTGTTCTCTTTGAACTCCATGGTATACCTATCGTTCGCAGTATCTGCTGTCCAGCTTAAAATTAAAGGACTCTTTCCAGGCGTAATTGTATATCCATTTACTAAAATAAAATGAATAATAGACCTTAAATAATTTATTTGGTTGGCTTACCCATTAATGAAAGAACAGGGAACAACCAAAAACTCCATGGTATCTCCATGCCTGTAAAATAAATTGGCAGTATTAACGCGTAAGTAAAATTAGAGAAAATTGTTTTATACATATAATAAATAATTTTTTGACTGCAAAGTTTTCAAGTGTGATCGCTTCCAGTGTTAGACAGGCATTATTCAATCTTTGATGGCATTCGAATGAAATTCACAGACTTTTCGAAAGTTTCATTCACAGAATTCCTGACATAGAGTTTCAGAATTTAAGTTAAAA